CAGTAATGTAGACTTACCTCTGATATCAACTCCAGCTACAACAAATCTAGAACCGTTCTTCATTGATCCGTTCCTTAGTCAACCCTCTGATTTAAAATGAATATGCAAAGTTTTTAAAAATGTTATTAAAGTGATCCAGAGATAGGCAAACTCGCGATCTGATTGGTCAATTTGGTGTCTCGGACTGTCGAATTGATGGAGTGTCTTGGCAGCGGTCTCTTTTTTTTTTTTTTTCGCGGTATGGATCACTGCTTACACAACTCATGCGTCAAGTGTTCTACAGCAGGCTACGGTTTTAGCTGTGTTGAAACGCACAGAATTGCCACCGGTTCAGAGAAGGGAAGATTCTGATAGACAATTTTTAAATCTGATAACAGGCTGTAATGCCAATTGCTGAACTGTTACTGGAAATCTTAGGACGCTTCACTTGAAGTTTTCCACATGGTTGAGCCCGCCAAAACCACTCAGCCAAAAGCCATTAACATAGCCACTTTTTAAACATTAAAAAACAATTTAATAAGCAAACTACGCAAGACTCCCTTAAACAGGCGATTTTTGGTGCAAATACTGTCGCAATGGCCATTGTGATTTGTGCCACGCAGCTGTAATTTCAGTCCAAGGTGAGCTCGAAATCGCCAGAGTTTGAAACTTAAAAATGTATACGGAACTTTTGAGTCAGACCATGTTCACACGTGTTAAAGAACGATTGTTAGTGACAAACTCTTTGGGTGTACCCTCGAAGGAGATATTGGCTCTCATGTGCTGCAAATTACAATTTGTGGGTGGCAAAAGCGCTAAAAATCCCATACACTTCTTTGTTAAACTTCGAATATTTAAGGTGGCTCTTTATAGTTTTGCGATCGCGCGCACGCCGAGGATGAAAGTTTAAGTACTTTCTGCGTGCGCTCAAAGGAAAACGTGAGTGTTTTTCGATAATTCATGACGTCAACAGAGTACAAAAAGCAAAACTGACAGTGATTTTTGTCGCCTTTCCTTCAGTAAAATTGGGTAAAATTTGGCAGACTGGTAATGAATATTTTACTTCAGCTTGAGCTCGTTTTTCAGGGAAATCTATCTGACCAGTTTTTCCACTGCGATAAAAGACATAATTTTATAAAAATCGAAAAAACTGCCGGTACAAGCCCTACTTTTTTCCGATTTAAAATTCGTATCCCGCCGAATTCTATGTACCGTGAAAATTGTGGAGGGTTTCACTGAAGGAAATCCAAGAAAATCACAAATAAAGCCATATAAGCAGTAAAAAACGCATTTGTTCAGGCATTTATAATTCGAGACTAAAAGCCAAGATTTTAACAGAGATGATAGTTAAACATTATTTCATCACTGCTTATTGCATTTATTAAGTTTGAGAGGAGTGGGTGTAAAAATGAATGAAAACAAAATAAAAACAGCTTTCAAAACATAACACTTGCGCGCGCAACGCGATAAATGGTTACCCTATGGACTCGAGCCACCTTAAACCACAGGTAGCCCAAGCTCAGTATGTAAGCCTCATAATATTAGTCGACATACAGTGTACGAGTTCAACCCTAATTGATTATTCGGAGCGTAGTTAATAATCAGTCATGACCTTCAGGTTGTAAGAGATTGTATGGAAAATACTACTGTCGTTGTAAAGTGTACGAATTTGGCTCTAAAATTTTACTTTAAAATCAACTGGATCGTTTTCTTGTCGTTTCTTACAATTCTACAGCTGAAGGCGTCTTTACGCCGGGTTAAGACGTTTTGTGAGCACGTTGGTTTTCCACCCCCAGAAAGTGAATTATAATTTTGTGGTTTGATTAGAAGCTCTTATGCTAATGAGGCAAATGTTGTGACAAGGATTGCGAGTTTTTGGGGGTATAACACTCCACTGACCACTGGCCAACGCACGCTGAAATCTGGCTTTCGCTCTTCGTGATCTGTTATGGATTACAATCCTGGAGGGTGGGGGTACTCCCAGAAAAATTTTGTGCGGGTGTGCGGTCCACTTCCCAAGACCCTAGCCCTATTTATGACCAAACTCTGTGATTTTCTCTATTTATGATCTGATCAAAAATTCGATACTCTATTTATGACCGATGCGACTGGCATAGATACTTTATGAAGTGTTTTTGTTGATGGTCTTTTCCATAATGATAAAAATGTAGCTTCTTCTAAAAAGTATACTTAATTAGAGAAACCATACTCTATTTATGACAAAAATGGCCAAAATTGGTATCTATTAATAACCAAAACGGCTGAAAAACCATTCGCCTTGGGGCCGCACATACCTATATAGGCCAGATAAAGGAGTGTCCCTCGGGATTACAATGTCTCCTATGACCCTTGTGTCATAACATTCTGATTCTCTTGTTAGAATTCCCATTCACTGCTGTCGTCCAATATGAGAAATTACTAGACGATTTCTCTTTAGTTTATGTTATTTATTAGCCCTTTTTTACTGAGCAGATGATTTCATTGCTC